ATTAAACCACTAAAAATGCTTTCATTATAATAGAAATAAATTAAAAAAAATTTTAAACCATAACTGTTTCCCACAACTTAACTCTTAAGGTCTGTTATGGCTTCAATTGTGTCCTCCAAAAAGATAAGTTGAAGTCTGAACCCCCCCAGAAGCTCAGAATGTGAACTTGTCTGGAAATAGGGTTGTTGCAGATGTAATTAGTTAAGATGAGGTCATACAGGAGTAGGGTGGGCCCTTTATCTAATATGATGTCCTTATAAGGAGAAGAGACAAAGAAGCAGAGATACACAGAGAGAACTCCAAGGAACAGTGGAGGCAGAGATTGGAGTGATGCATCTACAAGCCAAGAAACGCCAAAGATTATCAGCAAGGACCAGAAGCTAGGAAGAAGCAAAGAACAGATTGTTCCTCAGAGGGCCCAGAAGGAACCAACCCTGCCAACACCTTGATCCTAGACTTCTGGCCTCCAGAACAGTGAGAGGATACATTTCTGTTGTTCTAAACCACCTAGTTGTGGTACTTTGTCATAACAGCCCTAGGAAACTAATATGTATATTAAGAAACTAATATAATACTTTGTATACAAATTTCATACTTAGTTTTACATATTAGATATGTAGCTGGTTAAATAAGCATTTACAGCAAGGCACAATCCATTCTCAATTATTTTTCCTTAGACCACATTTGATCTTAATTAATTACAGATGCATCGCATTACTAATCCAAATTCTAGAAGTCTGAAAAAGTCTTCAGGAAAGATATTAATTTGTTAGTGATAAATTTTTTTTCTTTTGCTGAGGAAGATTAGCCCTGAGCTAACATCTGTGCCCATCTTCCTCTATTTTATTCTGTGGGTTGCTGCCACAGCGTGGCTGACGAGTGGTGTAGGTCTGCACCCTAGATCCGACCCGTGAACCAGGGCCACCAAAGTGAAGCATGCTGAACTTAACCACTACGCCACAGGGCTGGCCCCTTAGGAGATGTATCTGCCTTGAAATGAAACACAGCTGCTTAAATAGTCTCATTTTTCTCTAGCCTCTAGTTTTTGGAGGCAGTAAATGAAATGGTTAAGGGTTTGCCTTAAGAGACGATCTGGGTTCAAATTCTGGTTCTGCTACTTCTCAGCTACCATATCTGACCTTGGACAAGTTACTTAGCTCTCTCTCCATTCATAATGTAGAAATAGTGAAAGCAATGATCTTAAAGGGTTGTTGGATTTATGAAAAGAATTAAGACATGTCAAGGTCTCATACAATGGTTGTCACATAGTAGGTTACTAATACATATTAGCTGTTAGTCTCTTTTTAATGCTTCTAACCCATTGCCACAGATTGACTGCATGAAGCAACTCTGACATGCCACTCACCTGCTAGAAAACATTACATGGTCCTCCACTGTACATTTGAAAATGTTAAACACTGTCCAAATGTTGGCCTTATCCATTTTTCTGCTTTTTATCTCCTTTACTCGCTATCTGTTGAAGCCCCACCCTGCTTTAAATTCCAGCTCATATTTTATCCCTTGCTGATAAGACTTCCCAGATCACCAATATCAGACTTATCCTTTCTCCCTCTGCCATATTCCCAGAGCACAAGGGTGAAGCTCTTGTACAGGGCCTGCCTAGGAGTTGTTGTGCATGCTCTGTCCCATTTGATAGATTATGAGCTCCAAGAGGGCAGGGCTTATATCTTTCAATTTTGTATCCCCCGTAGTACCTAGTAGAGATTTTTACACTAAATAGATACTCAATAAATGGTTGTTAAACTTGGTTGAACCCATATTTTTTTTTTCTGGCAGATGCCCTGAGAAAAACATAAAATAAATGAATTACTTTTCTTCTTTTCATTGCAATATATATGCCCTGGGCTAGTGGGTTTTGGAAGCCTGGTTTAGAATTTAGGGAAGTCATCAATCTAAGAAAGGAGAGGAAATGCATTTTAAATCACAAGAGCAATATAGCCTTATATAAGGCCTTCTAGCAAAGCAATTATCAATGGCTCAGTAACCCAGGTGCTAGCGTTATTATGAACAAAAGTCTGAGGTTGAGAGACAATGAATAATCTTAACTTTTCTATTTCATGGGTATGCAATTCGGTGAAACATGTACAGATGGAAAGTTTAGATCTGAGAATCATATGTGGGTAACATAATGCAAATAATTGGCTTTCTTTCTAAAGAACATCTGTTGAAACATCTGAAAGCAGTTGTTTATACTGCTGCCAAAATGCTGAAAAATATAATAATTCTCCAATGAGGTTAGAAATATCCGGGGGAAGAAAAATACTTTCTATGTAGTTCTGTTTTTATTAAACTCTGTTGTTGTTTCTCTAATATGGCACATAGGAGATGCTCAATAATATTTGTTGAATGAATGTTGAATGACTACCAGAAACTCATTAAACAGTTGTTGAATGAATCATTTCTTTTTTGTAGACTTATAAGATACATTTTTGGAAAATACTATGCTCTAGTTTTACCATGTTGTATGCCATTTTTATTTGGCATAAATTTAAGTAATGCTACTCTTGCCGTAACATTATAGAATGTAATCAGCATGTATATCTATAAGAAAAAAATCTTAACACTATATAAAGTGTATGAATAAAGCTAGATATAGGATAGCAATATTTTAATATCTTAATGTGTTACTTTTACTCATTATTATGAAACATTTTTAAAATCTAATTGTAGGCTTGCATAATCATGTTTACTTCAACAAATAAAATAAAACAAAAAACCATGCTAATGTCTATAGTTGTGGTACCTCTAAGAGGACTCAAACTTGGGATTTAAAAGCACTGAAATATTCTGGGAAGTGAAGAAAACTGCAGAAGATGAAGAAGCCATTTCTCCCCATTTCCCCTTCTCAGAATTTCCAGCAGCTCTCTCTTCCATACTCCCGTTGAGTGAGGTGACTGGGGTCCCTAAAGGCTGCCCAAATTTCCCTGTGCCAAGTTTCGGTACAGAAAGAGCGTATTAAATAATAAATGTGAGTTTGAGTGTAACTAATAAAATTGGAATGTTAAGGAGCAGCATGCTTTTGAAAACCAGCCTCCTTGTGAGGGCACTCCCTGTGTAAGTCCACAGGAAATAATTCTGAAGGGAGTGATATTAATTAGTAATATAATTTATCTTCTGGAAGCCCTTTCCTTTGATGGCTGCCGTGGCACAGTTCATAAGCCTCCAAACGAGTCCTCAAAGAAAATGATTCAAACCACAATTTCAGCTTTGTTTTCTGTCCTTAAACAGATAAAAGAGTCAAACTTATTTCAGTATATCTAAATTTTACACATGCATCTGTATGATGGAGGATTATCAAGTTATAAAAATGTATTTATGAAGAGTTTTCAATGCAATGGTAAAACGCTTGTGATGTAATAAGAGGGAAAAGGAGTAGAATCCAAAATTAAATTCATGGTCTCTGGTCTCAGATTTCTTGCTTTCAGATCTCACTCTGCCATATACTAGATAAGCAACCTTGGCAAGATACTTAACTGTTTTGTGCCTCAGTTTCTTCAACTATACTATGAAGGTAATAGTAAAAATCATCTCAAAAGGATGTTTAGTGTTGAGAATAATGCCTGGCCAATACTCAATAAAAAATAATAATAACTATTACTATTACTTATTTACAATATTTTCAAGTTTATAAAGGAAAAATGCAAGGTGAGGAAGATTACCTGGAAGGCAATAACCAAAACGTTATTAATATTTGCTTCTGAATGATGTTTGGGCAATTCTTTTTTACTTCATTACACTTTTCAGTATGTGTCCTTCTATAATAAAGTTTAAGGATTAAGTTTTATGCATACATGGCTTGATGAAAATTAAGGTGGAAATTTGGAATAGGTCAAAATTTATAACCAATTATACTACAGTATTAATAAAATATTAATTAAGTCTATTATACAGGTGATGTGACAGAATTTACATTTACCTTCTTTTACTTAATTCTAAATACATTCTAGCTAGAAATTACTTATTAAAGTTTAGCCAATGTCAATTTAACAGTCAGAAATAAAGTCAAATACTTGTTATAATCTTAATATTTTGACCTACTAAAACTAATATTTTATTTTTTAATTTAAAAAATTCCATGCCAAAGTCCCAAAGGTGCCTTTCATGTTTAAGCTTTAATTAGCAACCACGTTGGTCTCTGACACATATTGCGCAGATATTGAAGTGTTAATATTACTGCAGCTTGATTACAAAAGGCAATGATTAATTTTAAAGCAGACAAAGAAGATATGCCCTGATTACAAAGGAATGATTAAGGCGGAATGTCAGACATTGCACATTTATAGCAGTCTCTGCCATAGGGAAAGGAGAGGACTTTGCAAAAGTTTATATTTAGAATCATGAGTACTTTGTACTTTATAATAGTGAGTGTTTGTGCCTTGCAGATGGATCACCCCAACTCCAACTAAGGCCTGAGACCTTTGGGGGCCACACGGCCATAGCAAAACACCTGGACGCAGAATGGGCCCCACGAGACGCCGTAGATTCTGTTCCCGCCAGGCGAGGCCGGCCTGAGGCGCTGGTCCCAGCCTTCGGCCAGGTCTCCTGCGCGCGGTGTTGTTAGCAAGTGCACAATTTGCTGAGAGACAGGGCAGTTGGAAGACTTTCTGTCTGCAAACAGAGGGGACTGAAAGGAAAAGCTGACCACAGAAAGGGCTGCTGCCCAGACCGGCTCTGACGCGAAGGCCCTGGGCCTCCATTTTTATTTGCCGCCAGAACAGGGACGGAAACCCGGCGAGGGCCCGGCCTCGGCCGAGGGAGCTGCGCTCAGCCAGGGGAGAGGCGCAGCGTGAGACTCGTCACGGCTGGACGGAGGGCGCGAGGGAGACGCCGGGTTTGTGCACAGTAACAGAGGCAAGAAGGCTGGGTCTGCAGCCCGGGGCCCTCGGGCCTCACCGCCGCCTGCGTGGCCGTCCTCGGTGTGGGCGCGGGCGGGGAGCCGGCCTGGGAGTCGCCCTGGAATAATCCTTCTTTACTGTGCTTTCCAGGATCGTCGGACTCGGTTATAAAATATTTCAGGGCGAACAAAGGATCGGCGGGAGCCCGGGCCCGAGATGAGTCTGGAGTCGTTGTTTCAGCACATCATCTTCTCCGAGCATCGGGCCGAGGAGGGTCGCCGCCTGATGCGCGGAGGTCGGCGCTGGTCGCTCGCGTGGGCCTGTGGTCGAGTTGGGGGCTTGGAGCAGAAGGAAATCCCGAAGGCAGGGGGCAGAGCGGTTAGGGGCCTCTGCTTTCCCCGCCCAGGGAAGGACAGCTGAAAGGTGGCTTATCACAGACTGCAGAAACGGGGACTTGAGACAGATTGATGTGTTTAAAGATTTAATTTGTTTTACAGTGAGGTCGGAAATTAACAGATGTCGTGAAAGAATTAAGAAAGCAACAGAGGAGCTGAACGAAGAGAACGTCAAGTTGGAATCTAAGGTATTGACACGTAGAGCATGCTCATTATCACGTGAAAAAGTCTATTTTAACTTGACTTTTTGAGGATGTTTACTGTTTAACTAGTGGTCCTTCAAGCAGGAAGCAGACTACTCTGCTGGTTAGTGTCGTTCCATGTTGTCTGGTAATGTTTCAAGTTCTGAGTCCAGTGACACCTTCGGTTCTAATATGAACTTGTCCTGAAGAAACCAGTGTTAAGTAATGAAGAATTCATCGTCCATGTTGTGGGATGCTTAACGTTTTAAAAGAGCACAATGTCATTGGAAAAATAATTGTTCGGTAGGTAGTTGGTGCCGTATATATAAATTTTGAATAATAAATAGTTTAAGAAGTGTGCTCTGTTGATGTAACACCTGAATGTAACTTTCAAAGGTCTCTCTGCCTTTTGTTTTTTAGTTCTCTAACGTATTTTGGACATATCTTTCATCCAAAAGTATAATTTTTCCACTAGCATTTCACTTTTTTCTGCAGCATTTGTCAGGTTCTGTTATTTTATATAGAAGCAAGGGAATCTGATGGCTTCCTGAAGGAGGATTTTGCAGTGGTGGGTAGAAGTTTGGAGAGGCAAAGAGAAGTAGTAGACGAAGCACATTTGAGGCAGGGGGAGGATATAAACAGCAGGGAGATATGGCCAGGGCATAGTGGGAGGAAAATCTCCCAAAGCAGAGGGCTGATGTCTGGGAATAGGAGGAAACCATTGCAGGTTTTTGATCAGGGAGTGGTGTGATAAAAGCGGTTTTAGAAAGAGCCCGCTGAGCTCTGGGAGGATGGAGCTAAGAACATCATCCAAATCTGTCACAATGAAGGCCTCACTATGGGCTGGGGCAGGCAGTCATACCAAAATATTTATTCAACTACTGAAGATAAAATAAGCAAGCAGTGTGCAATGGGAAAGCTGTTTGAGGAAGTCTGTTTGCTTAAAATGTCTATTTTAACTTACCGCTGTGAGGAATTTCCAGTCTCTTTCTGAATAAAATAATCATAGATTCTTTCTCCGCCTGCTGATCTTCTGCTCTTCCTTCCAAGTCTTGCTCAAACATTACCTGGGAAGCCCTCCCTTGGACAGCTTGGAAAAATTTTTTATTATGGCATTCAGCCCATTAGCTTACCATTAAACAACAATAGGCACTTGTGTTTGTATCCCTCGAGCAATATATCTGGAATTTTTTTCTTATGCATATTTTATCCAATGTATCTAATGCCTAGCACATAGTATACATTAGCATTTTAAGTGAATTAATGAGTACTAATAGTGAGATCATAGGGAGAGTGCTGTCTTAAAATAGAATTTGGAACTATTATTCAGTGAGACCTTAGGTCCTGCTTTGCCTGTGAATAGCAGATAAGCTAGCTGCTAACAATAATGCTATAAACTGATGGGATGGGCAAAGCATTAAGAATGTCATGACGTGCCTTTCTTTTTCTTTAAAAAGAATTAGGATAGCTTCAGGATTGGTAACTAGAAGCTAATAGAAGTAAGAGGCAAACATACACAATTAGGTAATGCATAGCTAACCCTTCCTGAGCACTGGTATGCTGGGCCCTGTTCTAAACACTTCACCTGTATTAGCTCCTTTAATCCTGCCAGGGATCCTGTGAGGAGGCACCATCATTAATCCTCCTTTATAGGGGAGGAAACTCAGAGGTTATAAATGACTTGTCCATGGTATATAATTTAAAAAAAAAAAAACAATTCAGCTACCACCGGTGAAAGTAATAATTGAGTAATGACAGTATATTTTATTAAAACAGATTTCTTGAGCTCATCTTAAACCTTTTTCTTCAGGAAATTCACATAAAATAATGTATCTGAAGCTTTTGCATCTAGTTTAGGGCAATATTTTTAAAAGGTCACTGATGTAAGTTTTTGTACAAAATGTATTTTTCCTGGATTCGTGAAGATATTGACCTGACAGATAACAAATGTTAAAAAAAAAAAAAAAGAAAAAAGATTTACTCTTTGAATATCTTTGGAAAAAAATAGATTTACTCTTTGTAATATTTTCTTTGTTAGTAGTGTATTTTGCTGAAAATGGAAATGTAATTTGTTGATATATACACATACATAAAAAATGTTGATTCAAATATTTATACTAGAGAGAAGACAGAGCAAATCCCTAACGTTGTTTATAAACAATAATTTGCTGCAATCACTAATTAATATAGGCTCATAAATGTGCATTGCTTTTTAATCAGCTTATATACATGGGTAATAATACAATTGTATCTTACTAATAAAATTAACATATGAGGTTCACAGTTCATGCGATACTAATTTGTAATTGAAATAATTTGATTTATAATATAGTCAAGATTGTGTGTGTGTGTACAAAGATTTTAAAACTGGAACCACAATTATAATGTAAATGACTAATGAGAAGAGCTGAAGAAGTAATCATAAATTGACGTCTTGTTTCTTTTATTCTTAAACTTAATTATATGTCTGCCAATAACAAGGAATATATTTACTTGAATATTTGACTTGGCGTTTATTGACCAATTTATCAAGTGGAAGCAGCATAAGGAGAAACTAGATCATAATTTGAATAGGCTAGTGCTTGAGCTATTTTTATAGTGATAACATTCAGAAAATATTTTGGGCATTTATTTTGGAAGTTGCTAGTGGTCAAAAAGTGTATTTAGTAAGTACAGTATTCATTTTTTTTTCCATTCTGTAAAACCCAGGGAGCATGTAATTAGTACTTGAATGATAGCATTTGCCTTTCAGGGCTCAATGAGTCCTTTAAAATATATGGTTGCAAAAGTCTCACATTATATAGTATGAGTACTTTGTGAATTGGAGAGCTACAGTATGCCTGGTTAGGTTTGGTAATATGAAAACAGAAAGACAAGAACATACTTGGATTTGTATTAATGCTTACCAATAAACCTAAAGCTTCTGATAATCAAGGAGGGGTTTTATAGTATTGATGATAGAGAAAATCAAAATTAAGGACTCACAGAACATTGGTAGTGTCTTTTAAGCATCTAAAAGAATATTTTCTGTTTTAAACGGTAGTATATAGTTAAAATTTGGGCATTTAATTTTTATAAACATATTACATAAAACCTAATATAATACCATACTCCCTCAAGAGGAGGTAAATGGAGTAAAGTCTGATGCTGTTTTGTTTATTTTTGCTTCTCCCAATTTTAATTTATTGCATGAACATCAAAACAATAATAAAATAGTATCTGTGAATTTTTAAAGGAAAATTATATTGAAGTAAGTAACTTAATATGTTTAATGAAGTTATTAATAAGGTTATTTCATCTCTTTGTTCCTCTGCTTTACCAGTTGAGTAGCCTTATGCGAGCAAGGTAATACCTTGAGTTTGCGCAAGTTTCCCTGTAATCGTGTGGGCTACTCATTACTAAAGATTCATACCAGTCAGGCAGCAGGTTAGGATGAATAATACATGGCCATTGCCTTTGAGGGACTTAGAGTCAAATCAGAGGTATTGCCCCTTCCTTAGAGTGGAGGCTCTGTCAGTTTAGGGTGCTCTTGGTTCAGTTCAAAATGGCTTAAACAATATTGGGAAACTATTGACATATATTTGAAAACCCATCATTTGATTCAGCAGTTATATCGGTTGGAATTGCATCAGGATGCTTATAACAAAAATCTTGCGATGGTGGCTTTACCAAATAAGGGTTTATTTTCTCTCGTGTAACAGGAAGTCTGGAGATGGGCAATCCAGGGCCATTTATTAAAGCTGCTCAATGAAATCCTAAAATACCCCAGCACATTCTGTCTTTCTGTTCCACCATCCTTAGCATGTGGCTTTCATCCTCATGGTCACAGGTACTGCTCCATTCCCAGGCATCATATCTGAGTTCCAACTAGTGAAAACGAAAGGATGAAAACCAAAAGGCTTCTCCTCATGTCACTTTATCACTGTTTTGGTAGTCTCCAAGGACTTAGGCCTGCATCTCAAGGATTAGAATTTTGTCATGTGGTCAACCCTAGAAAATGGATTCTGGGAATGTGATTTTTTTCTTTTCAGTTTTGAGGACTTTGCCATAATAATGTGTTCAAACATGTAGTGCTTAACTGTGTGTCAGGCACTGCTCTAAATGCTTTACGTATAGTAAGTCATTTAATCCTCACAACAGCCCTGTGAGGTGGGTGCTGTTTGTTAGGAAATTGAGGTAGAGAGAGTTTAAGTAATTTCTCTAGTTAGGAGGAAGTGCAAGGTCGATTCAGACCTAGGAAGGCTGGTTCCAGGGTCCCTCTCATAACCCCTCACACTCTACTGCCTTTTGTGTCTTTTACGTTGCCCAAGTATCTCTAGAACTGGACAGTTGCAGGGCCAAGGAGAGCCCGCAAGCAGTGGAGCACCTGCCTCTCCTGCTTCAGTCCTCGTCTTTGCTCACATAGACTTTGTCTCAGTTGGATATTTTTAACTGGATATATTACTGCTCTGAACAAAATTGGAATTTTAATTAGTAAATAAGAATGGTAGAATGGCTTGTTGTCCTTGTGTTCCCCAAATAGTTACTAACAACTCCTGGACTCACATGCTTTCTTGTTCAAAATCAGGGAGAGAAGGAAGTTTCCAGAAGCTTTCTCTGAAAAGCAGGGACATTATCCTCGTCAGAAACCTTCTTCCATCTTATTTCCATGAATTGTGACATATGACTACCCATGAACCAGTAACTGTGGTCAAGGGTAGTAACTTCTCTCAAATTCAATGGGCTCTCTGAGAATGGTGCAGGCTTCCAAAGATAATGAAGTATTTACCAAGGAAAGAAGGAATGCATGTGAGGGAAGCAGCCGCAGTGTCTACAACAAAGGCTTGAGTCCTTAAAACCAGAATGGCAATGTAGAGAGTGCCTGTAGTGGGTTGAAATATTTAAGGTTAATTATTGATTATGTTTATCATTTAATGTGAGTATGATTTATCATATATGACAGAACATAATGCACAGTTTTCCCCTCTAAGTTATCCCTCAGTCAGAAGAAATTGTTTTATGTTGGA